CCCAGCCTTCCCATCCCCTTTATGTTCTCATCTCCTGACCCTTCCACTTAGGACCCTGCCGCTGAAGACTGACCTGCTGGTCCAGGCCAGTGGTAGTTATCCAAATTTGTTTCTGTAACTACTGAGTAATATTCCATTCTGTGAATGTACAAAAGTTTGTTGATCCATTTTCCTATATGTAAGCATTTCTAATTTTTAAGTATTAAGAATAAGGCATAAGCATGATCTTCTAAATTATTCTTCTACAAAATGATATACAGCATGTTTGTCACAGGATGGAATCAGCTATGCTTCTGTAACAAATAGTAGCCTAAAGTAACCCCCCAAAAAAAGAAAAGAAAAGGTGCTTGTCACACAGGTCTGATGACCTGAGTTCAATCTCCAGAACTCACATGAAGGCAGAATATAGAACCAACTCCTCGGCTGTCCTCTAACCTCCCATGTGCACATATATACATACATGCTAGAAATATTAACAAATAAAATAATTGTTATCGTATTTCATGTGTGTGGGTATTTTGACTGCATGTATGTCTGTGTACCGTGTGCATGCCTAGTGCCTGCAGAAGCCAGAAGAGCATTTCAGTTACAAGCAGTTGTAAGCCTCCAGGTGGGTTCTGAGAATCCCACTTGGGTCCTATGGAAAAGCAGTGTTCTTAACTGCTGAGCCATCTCTCCATCCCTTTACTATCTGTCTGTCTGTCTGTCTGTCTGTCTGTCTAGTCAGTCAGTCAGTTAGTTAGTTTGGTTTGTTTTTCAAGACAGGGTTTCTCTGTATAATAGTCCTGGGTGTCCTAAAACTTGCTTTGTAGACCAAGCTGGCCTAAAACTCACAGAGATCTGCCTGCCTCTGCTTCCTGAGTGCTGAGATTAAAGGCATGTGCCACCACTTTAATAATTTTTAATGCCAAAGATTTATTTCTTTGTCATGTTATATCCCCATCAAAATTCAGCAAAAATTCAGGCCTTTCCAATTCACCCTGATCACCCTGTGCAATGTCAGTGAACAGACATTCCATGTCAGCTTGTCTTTCCATGATCATCAAAGTAGAAAAAGAACAGTTAGTTGATTACTGACCTGGCCTGCCAAGAGAAGAGGAGTGCACGCCAGAGGAACTTAGGAGCAGCCTTGTAACTGCGATCAGGTAACTGAGGGAATTATGCTCTGCTGTGTTGTTTACTGCTTGCCCTGCCACATGCTATTTAAAATAGTAACATTTTAAGCATGTGTTGGCCATTATATCCACACAAAGGGTGGACAATGTAAATATGATGATCAGGGAGACTGCAGCTGGTAGAGTGAACAAGCTTGGAACACTGTGTTCCCTTAGGAAGTTTAGGAAATGGACTTAAGAGAAAACTGTGGCCCTGTAGAAATTTCCCCAGGGTAGGTCTGGTTAACTTGAGCCTCTGAGAGAAGAGGACATCTGTGGCTCTGGGGCAGGTGAGGACACTTAGTGCAATGGTTATGAGAGGAAGTTCTGAAACCAGACCATGGTTTTTGAATCAGCCCTCTTGTGATTCGTAACCTTGGCGGATTGCTTCACCGGCACGTAAAGAGAAGATGAAGAAAATTCTAGCTACCACACAGAGACCTTCTAGTTTAAAAGGTATACAGTAAGCACTCAAATGCTATTTCTACTGACCATGGATTCCAAGTTGGTGACAAATGCCTGTTATTCCAACAACCAGGAGGCTGAGGCAGAAAACTTTATAGTTCAAGGCCAGCCTGGCCACATAGTGAGCTCTGAGCCCTCATAAGCTATGTAGTGAAACCTTGACTTTAAAATAGCTAGATATGGGCCCTGGAGAGATGGCTCAGAGGTTAAGAGCACTGACTGCTCCTTCAGAGGTCCTGAGTTCAATTCCCAGCAACCACATGGTGGCTCACAACCATCTATAATGAGATCTGGTGCCCTCTTCTGGCCTGCAGACATACATGCGGGCAGAACACTGTATACATAATAAATAAATAAATCTTTAAAAAAAAGATAGATAGATAGATAGATAGATAGATAGATAGATAGATAGATAGATAGATAGATAGATAGAAAGAAAAAAGTATCACAGTTTTCTCTTTTTGTATCATATATTTTGCATCACTCCAAATTCAGTGGCTCACAGCACCCCCACCTGTTGGCTGATGGGTTCTGAGATCTGGACAGGAGGTAGGTTTTTTACTCAGGGTCTCACAAGGTAGAATCAGGGTTAGTGAGTCTTGAGTGTGTGGGCTGTGGGGACGATTCTCTTGTGAACTCCCTCTTATTAAAACTGTTTCCTTGCTGGCTCAGGTTGGGGTGTGCCCAGTCCCTCCTCCTCCTCAGGCAGCCCCCTCAACCCTGAGATCAAGGTGTTCCAGGAGGAATTTCCTTCAGCTTAGAATTCACGTAAACAGTCTGATTAAGGGGCCAGGACACTGCATTTCTGAGACAGGACGTTTCTCTAATGGCTTCTCATAATTAGTTCAGGAACTGTCAGGTAATCTCCCTTATCCTGAAGTCAGCTGTGCACTTAACATAAGCTGACGGTGCCAGTAAATTCACAGACCCACCTTCACTGCTGTGTGGACAAGGGAAGGAACCTCAGAGCCTTCTGAGCACTCTGCCTAATCCAGACTGCATGGCTTTGATGCCGGTGCATTTCTGTGGGTGTGATGTGGGTGTGGTGCATGTATTTGCTTGTGTGCTGCTCTGGCCTCTGCATGAAACATACATGCACCACAAAACCATCACCTCACAGCTCCCCACTGCCCAACACAGAATAACATCCGCTACCCTGTTGCCTTAAGACAGGGTTTTCAATGAACTGGAAGCTTGCTATTTGAACTAGGCTGGCGGCTGTAAGCTCTTAGAACTCTCTACTCCTCAACGTTAGGGTTGCAGGCATGCACAGCCACACCCAACTTTTTGTGTGGGTGCTGGGGATTTGAACTCAGATCATTATACTTGTAGATCAAGCAAGTACTCCTACCCCCTGAGCTGGGGAGCTCCCCAGCCCCATAAGTGTATTTTTTAACAAAGAATTTAAATCAGGATCCAAAATATATTTTGCTATAAATATATTCTACGAATAAGAGAGTGAATTGGTAGTGTTCTTAATAGCCTATTGAAAAAAGCTAAACTGACAGCCCCAGGGTAGCGATTCTACAATTGTAATTTTCTGTTTGTTTGCTGTAGTCCTCGCTAATTGCTGATATCATCAAGGCAGCAATCATGTTTTATTCATTTTTATATTCATATTGTAAACATGTGTCAAATATATGTACATATTCAAAATAAAATGAGCGATATCATTGAGCTTCAACTAATTAAACTGTAACCAGCTTAAATTAAAAGGAAGACAGGCCGGGGTGTAGCTCAGTTTGTAAACTACTTGCCTAGCATGCATAAAGCCCTGGGTTCTATCCCAGTACTGTATAAACTAATGGTCCTAGTGGAAGACTGTAACCCCTGCACTTGGAGGGTGGCATCAGGAGGGTCCGAAGTTCAGAGTCATTCTCGGCTGGTGAGTTAGAGGATATGGGAGACTCTGCCTTGACAAAAAATGGGAGACACTGTTAGGAGAGTGCAGAGACATCTCGCTGATTGTCAACAGGAATCCACTAAGACTTCTGAAGAGAAGGCATCGCTAGAGATGTCCACACAGGGTAGTTGCCAATCCCTGCAGTAGCTGGAGAATTGCTTTTGGTAGTGTCTTAATGACACACCACTGAGCTCTGTCTATCTGCTCTAAAATGAGAGTCTCTGGATTGGAGAATTTGGTTGCCCTGCTCCATACACTCATATTGAGGCAGGATGTCTGTGTTATCTAGTGTGGATGTAATATACCATCCAGGTGTTGCCAATGAGCTGGACATACGCCACAGAATTTCCTTCATGTGGGGAAGTGCTGATTACTGTCTGGCTACAAGCAGCCTGTTGTCATTGACCCATGGAAGCAGGTTAGAAAGCACAGGACTTAGCTTAATCACACTTCCTTCATGCTTTCTAAGGTCACTCATTCCGTAGACACTAGTGTGCACACTCTCTTGCTATCAGCTGGGATTCCAAAGACATAAAATGCCATCCCTATGCTTGTAGTGGAAGAAAGAACAGCTCAAGCAGTTGTCATAGGGCACAGCAGGTGCAGGATGGGCAT